ACTGCTCCACTAATTGGTGACAATAAAGCAGAAACGTGCATTGCAATGCATCGGAAAAGGCAAGAAAGAAGAGTGCAGGCTTACAAATGTAGATGGTAAATGTTTTGCAAGGGAGAAAATTAATTCTACATGTTTGTCAGGACCCAGTAATACACAGTGTGTTTTGGTGACTAACACTGAATATAAATGTCACTGTTTGTTTTTGGGAAAACTCCTCAGGGCAGCTGTAAGAATTGAAATGCATATTTATACACTTATGTCAAAGCATGCCTCTAATAGCACATTTAGTTCCAAACTGTCTCAGTTTTCAGCTCTCTCGTCACTCACAGTAAGACAACATACCCAATGTCCTCTTCTCTCATAGTTAGGGTCAATAGGATAATGATTAGCCTGACACAGCATCTTTTTTTCCTTAGATTTTAACTTCACATCTTTAGGTAACAGAGAAATTGGACTTAACTGAATGTAAAAATGTATAGCCAAAAGCCTCACCATAGAGACTGCATACATGCACATCTCTCCTACTACATGTTTGTGCACTATGGAGCAGTCTTTCTCAGGAATCGCTGCATAATTCATAGATAGACTGAAGATTATCTACTGGCCAAAGTCACTCTGTAAGACTCTAAACTGTGCTCAGCATATATATCGCATATGTACACACACACAAGCTGAACTGAGAGTGTAAATCCCAATTTAGTTTTTGTTTGTATAGGGCATATTTATGAGGCAGTGGTGCATCTATCACCTGGTACAGTCATGCAACTGGTTGTTTGAAATTGTCATTTCTGTCAACACATAACTCATTATACATGTACATGTGCTTACAATAAGTGCTCTCTCCTCTCTTTGTGTATATGATAGTACGTGTAATGTCACTGACGGTGCCAGCTAGAGGTGTAGTAGCATTCAACACGCACAGAGCAAACAATGTTGAATTAAAGCCTCTGTGTGGCCTCTCATTGGAACACAATCCTCAGGTGGGGTTTGGCTGGCAGGGAGGGGGAGGTTGGAAAGGAACTCGAGCACAGGTGCTTATTTGTAGACAGTATAGTGTTGCAGCCTTCTGAGTTAGCCACTCAAATGTGTGTGTGTGTGTGTGAGTGTTTGGCATGACCTAGCATCTGGCTCCTGTCATCATCCCACAGAGTCGGAGTCGGAACTCTCGGTGAGTCACTTCCTGTCTGTGGCCAGTCACTCCTGTGAAGAGGACGAGGGGAGAGACACTCCCCTTCTCAGCAGCCTCCACCATCCCAGCACGCTCAGGGGGCCTACCGGAATGTCAGGGGAGAGTAACCATGGCAACCCACCAGCCCAGTACAACGAAGTCAAGAAGCACAGGTGGGACATGCTCCAGTTATGATGTAATCTTTGTTTAATAGCTTAAATGATGGAAATGAGACAAGTGAAAATACAAGGGCATTTATCTCCTAACATCCTGCTTACTGTGTGTTACATGCACAGGCTCCATTTAAGATAATTATCACAGCAGGGTTCAGTAAAACACAACTGTACATTGGTAAATGGCTTAAATAAATTTTGTACATGTGACTTGTTAGCACGCATGTCCGATGACAGGTTGTGCTCGATCAGCAAGTGGATAGGTTGGTAAATGGCACTGGCATAATGGATACTACCTTTCCACTCCATTATGTTTTTGTAGTCAGGTGTTTTTGTTTGCGCATCAGATCCATGGAGAATAGCCTGGTTTGTTTTGTTTTTTTTTTCCTGACAGATCCAATTCTCCAAGTGAACAGTCAACACAGCGCTCAGTGTTTATTGCTCTACTTTGTAAAAAATTGACTATCTTATTTCTGTGGCTCCCGATTCTGGCTTAATACACCAAGTGATCCATAAATAATTTAGCATGTGCTGGCTCAGAGTAGGAGTTGGAGTAAAAGGGACTGGCTGGTTGACTGGCTCTGTGTGCATATGTGTAGACTTGTGTGTCTGTGTGCATGCACTATGCATAAAAGATTTATGAGGGCTCTGTTTATTTGGAATTACTCCTGTCATTCAGAGATACAGCTGTCCTTGGGCCCAAGTCTAGTTGTTTAACATTTCTCTCAATGCATTTCTATAACAACACCCTTCCATAATTTATTTTAGAAAGTCAAGATTGATAAAAGCTCAGCTGTAGTTGGTGCCTGCTTCCATGTTTTGACTTCCAGGATGACTTTTGTTTCAGTAGCCTCTGCTCAACAGTGTAGTTATGCTTAAATGTTTTCCACTTGTATTTCTGAAATTCTGTAACATGTGTGAGTATTTCTAACCATATTCTGAGCTATATAGATAATATTTATTAGTACACACTGTAAAATTTGAGCACCTCATGAAAAAAAACTTTATCCTCCACTTACAAAAACTACAGGTCTCATGAATTCTTCAGACATGTACAGGTGTAGTAGATACTTTTAGAAAATCCAGTGGCCATATTTTAGTTTTTTTTTAGCATTATGAAAGAAAAAGCTTGTGGAACACAAACTAGGCCAGAAGTATAGTCGGCCATGCATTACTGCTCTGCTTGTCCTACAGATGGAGCAAATCCCTAACTCACTACCTCTCTGTTTATTTAGCTTAAGTAAGGGCTTTTATTGATGTGGTTGCTGTAGCACTCATTTCCAAACAAGGGCACCATCTGCCTCCAGCTGATATACCTGTAAAACAGTCAACACTACAGTTGTCAGCAAAGCTGGAAGATCAGTCACAACGCAGCCTGAACATACAGAAGGAACATGGCTGTGTGTCAAAACAGACAAGAAAATGTTCTGACATTATCTAAATGATACACAGTTAATATACTCATTCTTATGTGAAAAGTGTTTTTGAGCCAAAGTTAGTACATGGAAAAACGACAAGTAGTACATTTTCTAACCAGTCTTGAAAACCTACACACATTAATGTGTAGTGCATGAAAGTTCATTAGCTTACAGGTGTCAGATGTCTGTTTCCAAATGGTAGGTGAAGCTACATTGTCTGCTCTGCACCTTTTAATTACAGTATATAAGCATGCAGTAGACAGTAGTGGTTTTAATGTGTGGTTTACCCATTGCAGGTAGTAGATTTGTTTGCCATATTAGAAAATTAAGTAATTTTGAGTGTGGAGGAGAACATGCCCTGAGTCATCAGTGTTTGCTTCCTATAAAATGAACATCTTACACAAAATAATCCAATGATTGTCTCTACATGGAGGTGGGTATTGTGATACAGCCACTGATAGAAATTGTCTTCATTAATATAATTCTCTCTCAGATGACGGTGTTTCCCCCATGTCTTTATACTGCTGTCCTACAGAACATCCCTACCAGCTCCCATGTTTTCCAGGAATGAAGTCAGCATCTGGAGTATCCTGAAAAAATGCATTGGCATGGTGAGAACAGGTGCACTTCCTCAAGCCAATTTATCTTATTATGGGGAAAACTAATACTGATTTGGGAATTGGTTCTTAAGTAGACCTGGTGCTAAGGGCTAAACTTGGGTCATTGTGATAAGTCAGTTTTGCACTTTCTCATTACTTTATATTTGAGATTCACATGCATTTGTCCTTTGGATGTAATGGCTCACAATGAGTCTATGCTAAGGTGGTGTCATAACTCAATACTATTGTAGCATTTAACTAGTAGAGGGAAGGGCTGATGCCATATCCATCTTTTTACAGTCAGTAGTCCCCCCCCACTGAACTGTATGTGCGCCCTTCCCTCTACTATGCAAAAGTGAAGTCAAAATATCACAGATATGGTGCCTGTCAACTCGACATTTTGCAACCAGATTCTGCACAGTAGCAAGCAAGTAGTTGAGTGATGTATCAGGCCGCCGATCAAAGGTGTCAAATAATCCGAAGTACATCCCATTTTATATCATCGAATAGCTTAAAGAGACACCTTCCCAGAATAATGACCACCACACATCTACCAAAAACCAAAGAAATCCCCTTTGGGGAAAAATTTGAGTCTGGCTCATGTCCCATCCACTGACATGGAGGGTGCAGGATTTATGACCTATACTGCAACCAGCCACCAGGGAGCTGAAATGGCATGCATATCTTATACAGTTGATGGGGCAGACTGCTATAGTAGAAATACAGACACATGAGGTATTCTCAAAACGTATTGAAGAGTGCATTCATGTAGTTGCTGAATTAAGATCTTTTCTCTGTGTTTTTTTTTCTTAGTAAACTTTAAGCTGGCGTGTGCATGTCATAATTTCTTTCTGAGGCCAGTGTGCCTCAGATATTATAGTTAAATGCTGCAATAGTATTGAGTTATGACACCACCTTAGCATAGACTCATTGTGAGCCATTACATCCAAAGGACAAATGCATGTGAATCTCAAATATAAAAACAAATGTCGTTTGTGATATGATGTTTACTTGTTCATACATACTAATTATCTGGTTTAAACAGCAAAGATCCAATTCATTGCAGATCTTCTGTATTCTCTCATGCAGTGGTCTGTGCCCTCACAGTATCTTGTATCTTCTCCGACTCTTATTTCAGGAGTTGTCAAAGATTGCCATGCCTGTGATATTTAATGAGCCTCTGAGCTTCCTCCAGCGGCTGACAGAATACATGGAGCACACCTATCTCATCCACCAGGCTAATGCCACAACAGACTCTGTTGAGAGGATGAAGGTATTGCCATGCTTAGGTTTACTTTCTACACTAAAGAAGGCAGTTATGCCAAAAGCGCTGTTGTCTGTTGCCTCAAAATTCATGTTGAGGCAGTCGTCACTGTGCGGAGGCCCGTTGCTCTAGTTCAGAGCACCTGACTGGCACCTTGAGCATCGCCTTTTTTCAACTTTTTTTTTTTTACCTTCTTCAGTAGAAACAGATTTGTTTGTTTTTTTAAAGTTAATCTCCAAATGTCATCACTTAAATCAAATCAAAGTACAGTACCATTTAATTGTTGTGCTATCTGTGTCTTCAAATAAAACACTGGCATGCTATTGAATCAGTAGCTACTACTTTGTCAGAACTGCTTATTATGGGACATTGTTCTGTAGTGTGTTGCAGCATTTGCTGTGTCAGCTGTAGCATCACAGTGGGAGAGGACTGGAAAGCCTTTCAACCCACTACTGGGGGAGACCTATGAGCTTATCAGGTATGACAGACTACCTTAAATTCACAAATGTTCTTTCTGTTTAGTGAATATTTATTTGAGTGGCCTTCACTGCAGTACAAACTGTCTTTGTTCTCTATCAGAGATGATTTGGGCTTTAGGTGGGTGTCAGAGCAAGTAAGCCATCACCCTCCAGTCAGTGCCTTTCATGCTGAGGGCCTCAAGGAGGATTTTGTCTTCCATGGTTCCATCTACCCCAAACTCAAGTTTTGGGGGAAAAGCATAGAAGCAGAGCCCAAGGGAACAATCACACTGGAGCTACCCCGGTGAGTGTACAGACTCGCTTTGTAAGTTGGATTTGGAATTGAGGCAGCATCATCTACCTTTACTTTTGTCTCTGCAGATATGATGAGGCCTACACCTGGACAAACCCCACCTGCTGTGTCCACAATATCATTGTTGGTCAGCTTTGGATTGAGCAGTATGGCAACGTGGAAGTGATCAATCACAAGTAAAAGAAATTCACTTTTTATTGTGGTGTTGCCTTGTTTGTTTGCTAGTGCATTCATATGAATGTCTTTTTCTGCACTCTGGAGTGGAGTATTTATCCACTTTCAGATCCAGCTTATTGATCATGGGAGCAGAACTGGGACAGTTGCCAGTAGAATAGAAGAACATAGGCAGGATAATTGTGGTGTGGATGTTTAAAAGCCTCAGTAAAAGAGAACTGATAAAACAGTATCATTTTGTGGCAGGACTGGAGAAAGATGCAGCATGACATTCAGGCCCTGTGGCCTCTTTGGTAAAGAGCTCCATAAAGTGGAAGGATATATCCTAGATAAAAGGTATCATCTCATTTAATAACCAGTGATTATATTGTTTATCAAATGTTTGATTTGTGGACATACGTTTGCATTCTCAGTTTGTCTAATGCAGTGGCGGGCCGTGCATTTGGTACCTGGGCCTTCAGTGGAGACTTACCCGACTTAATTCACCTCTTAATACCACCACTGTACGTCGCAATTATAGAAACCATCAATGCTATACAAAAACGCAATATAATAAAGTGTGGCATTACAGAGAGAGAGGTATTTCACGTATTGAGGGTGAATACCGTTTTTACTAAAGCAAGAAACCCAGTTAAGACAACTCCAAAACCTCTACACTACAACTGCAACTGTGATCTCTGCGTTTCAGTTCCATCGTATGCCCTTTTCTAGTTTTGCTCTGACCAACCAATCAGAGGACGGAAAAATGCTGACATCATTGTGGGCCAGCTAGCTGGCCCTATGAGGCGAATTTGAAATCTGATTGGTTAAAGAAACAGTCCCATTGCTAATATAGTTTAAGTTACATGGGCCAGCACTTCTGATTCTGAAGGCCCTGGGCAGATTAGATTGACATGGCAACACATAGAGGCTGAAATCTGATTGGACAAAAAATCTAACATCCACATACGCGTACTGGAAGCGGTGCAGCCAAGAGAAATACTACGAAATGAAGAGAACAGACTGTTGGGAATAAATTAATACAATTTCATGGAACAAATATTAGAATTTTGGTTGTAAATGTAGGTCAGTGCTTCTAATAGTGTTTAGGCCAGCAGAGAAGGCCTTGCTGGCCCTGACGGCCCGCCACTGGTCTAATGTAATGTAACAAAAGTTTATTTCATATCAAAATTATCTGTTGTTTTATTAACATTTGCAGCAAAAAGAAGCTCTATGCAATATACGGCAAATGGACTGAATGCCTGTACGTGGTAGACCCCGCTACCTTCGATGCCCACAAAAAGTCTGACAAAAAGAATTCTGATGAAAAAAGGGGCAATAAACAGGTGTGCAGATTTAATGTGATCAAAGTTACCTATGTTCTGTCTTTCATTTGGTTTAAATTAAACTTGTGTGCATGTCTGCAGTCCCAGAGCAGTGTGGATGAGGAGCCAGAAGAGATGCCTCCACCTGAAGCTGAGACTGTCCAGGTCATCCCAGGCAGTGAGCTCATCTGGAAGATTACACCTCGACCCAACAACTCAGCCAAGGTATGAGAAGAGAGGAGGTGGAGGTACAAGGAGAACAGTTTTTAAATAAAAAAAAAAGGCATAACTGTGTCATTTAGTTGCTTGTCATCTTCACTCCCTCAGTTGAAATTTAGTGGTAATTTTCGTCTCTCTGTGGCAGTTCTATGCATTCTCCATGTTCGCCATGCAGCTAAATGAGCTGGAGAAAAGCAGGGAGGGAGTAATCCCTCCCACAGACAGTCGCCTCAGACCTGACATTCGCGCCATGGAGAATGGAGATATAGGTACAGTGAATGACCTAGATTTGAGTCCCCATTCTGCCACACCAGCTAAGGTCCATGTTCAGATTTCTGTATATATGCTTTATAGACTTGGCAAGTACAGAGAAGAAGAGACTTGAAGAAAAACAGAGGATGGCTCGGAAGAATTGCACCAAGTCAGAGGAATGGAAAACGAGGTTGGTCACAAATGTGATCTAACGTTGTTGCCCAATTGCTGATTGTCGTTTTCTTTTTACTAATTGCCTCCCTGTTGTCTTGTGTTACCCACTGTGCCTTTCACTTTATTAAAATTGGAAAGGAATGCTGCACTTGGCTCAAGGTTTGGTTCAAAGCTTTGCTTTATTTCATTGCTGCTGTTTGCTTTGGTGTGAAGTGCTGCACTACACCACCCTCCACAGGACAAATTAACAACTGCAACTATGTAAATTAAAATACTGATGTTTGGTACTAGATATTTTTACCTTATGCAGTTGCACCATGTCATGAACTAGTGTTTTGTGTGTTAGATTTTTTTTTTACGTCTGTAATCCAAGTGCTGTGTGCATCTAAAATCAACTTTCTCACTATCTTTTCACACTATCTCAATCTTTGCAGGTGGTTTCAACAAGGCCCTAACCCTCACAACAAAGCTCAGGACTGGCTCTACTTGAAAGGCTACTGGGACAGGAACTATACTCAGCTGCCTGATATCTACTAACAAGTAAAAACACACACACGGTTATTGTGTTTTACCACCTTTGGACCTTATCCTAGCATAAACAGAAAAGTATAGAGTTCAATTTGAGGAAATATCCTTAAAGCATCTTTTTTTCCTCAACGGCTACAAAACACTGAAGCCAGAGGCACATTTCTTCAATAGATTTGTGTGACCATTAAAAGCACAAAGCTTTTTTTTTTGCTTGCTTATTGTGCTCAAGTTTGGAATAGATGTGTATAGGGAAAACTAGAATGTATTTTAGAAATATTTCATGTTAGATGGAGTGTTTGAAAAGCAACCTCAGTTTTATTCTTTGTAGTTTGACTGTAATTCCTACTGGTTATGAAAACCTCTTACTTCTTCGCTTTGGTGCCAAGACAGCAGGCAACATGGCTACAAACAGCTATAGTAGAATGTGTGATTACGTCCTGAGCACACTGATTAGACGCTGAACTGGCACTAGTTCTACTTGTGCTTTGCAGTGTAAAGTATTCAAATAGACTTTTGGTACATTTTTTCATTTATTCTTACTTTATAGTACAGTGAGTAGTGCAGATTATTAGTGTTTAACTGAATGTTTAAAATTTGCCTGATTGCTAAGGCTGCTGTAGTAGGCAAAATCTGTGTAGCTGTTTATCATTCAGCCCTATTTACTATATAGAGGGGAACAGAGACTAGCAGCGTTGCACATAAGTCTACCTGATTGTGTACACACAGTAGCACTTTTTTATAGACTAAAGCAGGTACACTGGCTCTGCACTTAAATTGGATGCGTGTGCTTGTAAAGGTCTTCCCATAGTTGACTGTAATTAGCTATATTCTTGATGCTATGTGTACTGATGTGATTTTAAAGTCTAACAAAAATGCATGTGCATCACTGTACTGTAACTATGCAAAACCTGCCTCCTTCACAAGCACTGAATATGGATTCGTGGATAGCTGCTATAAGATTGTTTTTTCCTTTATTGCTCTTCAGGTATCAATGAAACGATTTCTATTGTTGCTAAATAAAAGCTTATTAATTGAACATTCATGGGTTTATTTTCCTATATTCCTAATGCATTTTAGTGGTGTATACAACAAAATTAAGACATTACTTTATTTTCATTAACCCCGCTGTTCAGGCTTAACCTTTCTAATTAAATGATTTGAGTTTTTGCAGATGGATTTGGTTCATAACTCACCTACAGTACATTAAACTCAAGCTACGAAACATGTTTTATAGCAGTGTTACTAACATAAACCAGCATGGTGGTATGCACATAGGCAAGTGGATCAATTCAGTGGTATTTAAAAGGTATAAAACAACCCATTAATCTGTAAAACGCAGAATTTATACAGGTGATCTTCAGTTTTCTATGTACCATGTATGGAAGAGGATTAGGGCCACTGTAAAAAAAAAGTTTCTGAAACTTAAGTTAAATTCTTTT